ACCCTGAGGAGGAGAGAAAAGAGGAAGCTGTGGACGCGTGGTGTGCGGAGGATGTAACACTTTGTATTTATAGGATGTTTGAAGGAGGTTCATATGATGAATCTGGTCAGATGGTGAGAGCAGAGCGAGCGCCCAGATCCCGAACAATCCATCTCATGTGCACAGGTAAGGTTTCAGCTCCGTGCTCCCCCTGTCTGTATGTGTCCTGTGTATGTCCACATGTGTCACCCTACCACCCGCATCCATACATCTGCCAGCAGGTCCAGGAATACCGATGGGCACAGTGGGCAGCCGAGGAGAAGAGGTGATTTACCCATCCTAGGTACAAACATCTCGTGTAAGAATATCTGTACATTGTCACCAAATCGTAAGTCGGGTTAGGATCGGTAAAGCCAAAATGACTTCATGGCATCGCAGTGATGAGGAAGCACACGTATGTTTTAATGTGCTTCACCACAACGCATTCCATTGCAGTGATATTTGTACATCTCCAACACACATCTCCACTGTACTCCTCCAACACACATCTCCAACACACATCTCCAACACACATCTCCTCCAACACACATCTCCAACACACATCTCCTCCAACACACATCTCCAATACACATCTTCAACACACATCTCCTCCAACACACATCTCCTCCAACACACATCTCCAACACACATCTCCTCCAACACACATCTCCTCCAACACACATCTCCAACACACATCTCCTCCAACACACATCTCCAATACACATCTCCTCCAACACACATCTCCAATACACATCTCCTCCAACACACATCTCCAATACACATCTCCAACACACATCTCCAACACACATCTACAATACACATCTCCAACACACATCTCCAACACACATCTACAATACACATCCCCAACACATCTCCTCCAACACACATCTCTTCCAACACACATCTCTTCCAACACACATCTCCAATACACATCTTCAACACACATCTCCAACACACATCTCCAACACACATCACCTAGGTACATCTCCAATACACATCCCCCCTGTACATCTCCAATACACATACCCCTGTACATCTCCAATACACATCACCTAGGTACATCTCCAACACACACCCCCAATACACATCTCCACCGTACATCTCCAGCACACATCTCCACAGTACATCATCAACACACATCTCCAATACACATCTCCAGCACACATCTCCAACAGACATCACCAAGGTACATCTCCAACACTCTTCTCCAACACACATCACCAACACACATCACCTAGGTACATGCCCAATGCACATCTCCAACACACTTCTCCAACACACATCTCCAATACACATCCCCAACACACACACCCAACACACATCTCCAATACACATGTCCACCGTACATCTCCAGCACACATCTCCAACACACTTCTCCAACACACATTTTCAATACACATCCCCAATGCACATTTCCAACACACATCACCAACACACACCACCTAGGTACATCTCCACCGTACATCTCCAATACACATCCCCCTGTACATCTCCAATACACATCACTTAGGTACATCTCCAACACACATCACCTAGGTACATCACCAACACACATCTCCATTGCACATCCCCAATGTACATTTCCAACACACATCACCTAGGTACATCTCCACCGTAGATCTCCAACACACCTCTCCAAGGCACATCTCCAACTCCGATCTCCAAAAAAGCACCCCTACTCATTCACTAAAGGGTTAAAATAAATTGTGAATGAAAGGACCAGACTTTTGAAAAAAAAAGACAAGTTTTTGACAAGTCTATTATTGTAAAAAAAATAAACCAAAAAAATGGATTCACCAACATAATTCAGCCTTGTCCATGACGACAACGGCTGGGCAAAATAAAACAATAAAAAAGAAATAGAAATTTTAAAAAATGCCCGCCGTCCTGTCCACTCACGACGAACTCCCGCCGCCGAATGGCATTCTAACAGATGCCGGCAAAAGATAAATAATTGGAATTGGACGGAGCTAGCGGTGACAGCTAGCTCCGCCCAACTGGTTACAGTTGTATGGCATCTGACAGCTGAGCCATGATTGGGCAGAGTCATCATTACTTTGCCCAATCATGGTTCTTACAGAGTACTGGGCCCTGATTGGGCAAAGTCTTGCACCTTACCTGTGGTCAGGTGCAAGGCTTTAGCCAATCAGGGCTCACAAGGCACTGTGCGGTGCACAGTGCCTTGTGGCGCGCACGGCAGGCAAACAGCCTATCAAACACCCTGACAGTTTGTGTGTTCGCTGAACACACAGACTGCCGATGTTTGAGTCCAACTCTTGGTCGACTCGAACATCAAGCCCATCCCTAGTGGCTTGGTGTATTAGAAGACTGCTTGGTTAAATGAGGTTCAGAATCATGGGTTGGTTGGAGGCTGGATTGGTTGGAGGCTGGGTTGGTTGGAGGCTGGGTTGGTTGGAGGCTGGGTTGGCTGGAGGCTGGGTTGGTTGGAGGCTGGGTTGGTCAGGCTGGGTTGGTTGGAGGCTGGGTTGGTTAGAGCCTGGGTTGGTGGATCGCTGACTTAGGATAGTACTACATGCTTAGATACAGTCTGAACAATCTTGCACCCATCTCCTTCAATTTTTCAAAGTTTGTGAATTTGGGTGGTGCTGACAGGGTCACCCAGGGCTTGTGGTGATACAGCAGGGAGGACAGTTTGGTGGGCTGGACGGTGGATAGAGTGGTGAGTTGGTGGAATAGAGGTTTGGTAGGTTAGTGGGTTGGTAAATTGGGGAAGATTGGTGAGATGATGGGTTGGTGGACAATTGTTGAAGGGATCCTCTGCAACGTGGAGGCTGAGGTCCAACTATGATACTTCTCCTCTAATGGTGGAGTGCGGGCTGAGACACATCAGTCTGAGCCCTCGTCCTAAAACCACGGCAAGCAACTACCCGGCACTATTCCCAGACTGCAAACAAGGATGCGGATATTGTGGTCAAGGCCATGAGGGGTGCTTTTCTGCCACGGGGAATAGGGAGATGAAGTGCGCATAACCCTCCCTCTGTTTTACAAGGACATCACAAGTGGATGTAATATGAGGGCCTGGCAAAGCAACTGCACAAGGGGCCTCTGAAATTTAAGGGGTCCATTTATACCTACTGGGATTCCCCCCAACCACCATGTAGACCTGGACACTGCACACCAGTGGAAAGCAGGAGGACTCTTCCATGATACCTCAACAGTTCCCCCAAACTGAATTGGGGCCCCACAAATGATCTCACTCAGGGGCCCTTTGATGCCTATGCCCATCACTGTGTAACATATACATTGCTGCCACTAGATGGAGCCCAGGAGCGTAGGAATTCCTCACGCTCCTTGGCTCCATCTTGTGGCAGGAATGTCGTGCGAATGGCATTCACCCAACGTGTTGCCGGGCAGGAGACTGGTAGAATATAAAGATGGACAACGAGTTCAATGTCGTGTTTCCACCATCCGGGAAATTCACATGTTCAGCCTTCAGTTTCATTTGTGCTTTTCAATTTCACACATTGCGCAACTTCCTGATATGACTTTCAGAACGAAACTGAGCCGTACCGCTAAAC